CTTGCAAGCAACGATTCTTCTGAAGCCATTCGCGTCAAACCAGACGGGCCTCCTGCTCCTTTTGTTCTCAAGGCAGCTTGCCTGACCATCTCACCGTTAATCTCTGTATACACGGATTCCAGATACTGGTCATCAATTGGCCCGAAGAGCAGTGAATCCAATTTGGCTGATTGTGGATTGGGATGTTTCTGTTTTAATTGCGACATGACCTCACCTGTTAAAGACAGCACACCACCACTAGTTTTTTTCACTCAGGAAACGCAGCGCTCGGTTGATTTGGCCTTCCAGTACAAGCTTAGCAAAAACCTTAGATCTATCGGGCGGTTTCGACGCCTTGAGTTTTCTGATACGACCTTGAATAATTCTACCTTCGCGTAATAACTTATTAATTTCACCTTGCCTCCAAAGTATTAGGCGCTTAAACAAGACATCTTGTTGATCTTTTGCCTTAGACTTCGGGCTTGGCTTTTGAAGCCCTACAGCGAGGAGCACAAAAGCTGCTTTCAGAGATATGTGCTGATTGTCGGAACCACTATTCCGGTCATTAATATGCAAAGTCACTTGGTCAATAAAATCCCTGCCTACTTTCCCATACGGCACAAGAAATACGTTTTTTTCTTCAGGTTGCGATCTCGTTATAAGCATCTGTTATGACTGAGGTCGATATAACAATTGCGTTACCATCGCTTCGTTTCCCCAAGTTGATCATAGATGGCTTGTAAATGGTATTGTATCCCGTAAGGCATCCCGGGCTGTTTAAATGGTTTTCACGTTGCTCTTTCTGCTCTATGCCTCCTGGGATTTGAGGAGTACTAGCTGTATGTAAATCTTGGTTTGATGAGGCTAACAGATTAGCATATTGTGATTCACTCCCTGTTTCTTCAAGAATAGATAAATCTGTATTTATGGGCAAAGAAGTAAAGCATGTCAAGTTTGCTCCGATTTGCGCATCCATAGACACGTTTCTTTGAGCGAGAACTCTTGAATTTGCATCCGTCTGTTCCTCCCACGATAGGTTTTCTGAGCTCTCTTCCACCGTTTTCTCAAGTCTAGCTGCTTTGATCTCGTAAGTTCTGGCTTGAGAGTCCGAGATCTCCATATCCTTTCGCATCCCAGAGCTCACTCATAATAGCCTTTTTTCGTCCCATTATCATCCAGCGGTGGTCGTTCCAATAATGTCATAACCACGGCCTCTCAATTGCAGCTTAGAAGATCGGCATTCATTCGTTCCGTCCATTTGCGTCTAGGTTTTAATTTTCTTCAGTCAGTTATTCTTATGAATAGTGATACTGGCGATAATCAGAAACTTTTGGCTATAAACAATTCCGAAAAAATGCTGCAGTTGAACATTTTAAGAAATTATCTTTGCCTCCGAGAAAACGTGACCGTACGCTTCGGCTATCTATAATAATAATAATAATAATAATAATAATAATAATAATAATTATTATTATTATTATTATTATTATTATTATTATTATTATTATTATTACAAGTGATACCAGTAAAAGTAAATTATAATTATTTTACACTTGGTTCGAGTTTAAACCTTAAAATCATTAGATCAAACAGGGTTAGCTTTTTCGTCTTTCTTCGGTGTCGCATATTTATACGACGAAGTCACGGTTTGAGATTGTCCGCTATCGTGAGAAGTGATTCCATTTGCTTTTATTGAAATGGGTGGATGAAAATTCATCGCTCTTTTTGGTATACAAATCATGACATACAGATCACGTCAAAGGGAAAGTAAAATCAACTATTATTGCTGATTCTTAAGAGCGAATGCCCACAAGAATCAAACAAAATTGGAAAATAACGGCAAAAGTGTAAAAACTCAAAATCGCTCAAACTTTGGCTATCAGTAGTCCATACTGAGTTATTCATCGAAATGTAATTAATTTGTCAAATAACTTTTTGCTTTGGCAGAAAATGATTATAATAAATTTCGGTGATTGTCACGCGAAATTTCGACTTGAAATATTAGCGGTTTTTAAGCAAACCGCTTGCCTTAACCGTAGAGCAAGAAGAAGACATTCACTTATTATCAGCTTATTCTACATCTCTTCCCGATTTTATTTTATTACTTCTATGAAGTGTGAAAAAAAAAAAGAATGACATCGAGAGAAACCTGAACGAAATCCCATTGTTTCTCTATGGAAACAAGCTAAATTTAAAAATTATTTACCATACTACCTTTATTACGGATAAGGTGAAATTTCAACAGACAAGTTAGGAAGAAATTAGCTTTTAATTGATGTAACGTTTGTTCTGGGGAAATTAAATCGTTGTCTATAACAGAGCGCTAAAAACCACTAAGATTCAGGCAAATAAGAGATTGCGTGACAGATCGTGACCGAGGTTTCAATTGCGTTTTACGGATATTGAAGCCCAAACTCGATGTTAATGCTGTTCATAAAACAACAGCATTCTAGTTTGAGAATCTAATGGTTTTTGCGTATTATATGAAACTTCGTTCGTACCTTATGTTAGCAAATTCATAACTCCCAAGAAAAAGCGTTATGATATCGTGAGATGTCGGGAGGTGTTCTTGTCTTAGAAGCCCCTATGCTTTAACTGTAGTTTCCTTTTGAAGTTTATCTATTTTTTTGTTGCGTGTGAGATAATTTGTCTTTGTTCTATTCGGCTGTGAGAACTGCTAACTCACTCGTTTCATTTAGCATAAGATCTAGCTGATCATGCAGTAAAGACTATTATGGCCTAGATATCTTTGATTGGCAACAAAATTTCAACTAGTTGTGTACAAATACCGTATTTCCTCGAATAGCCGGGGGCGTTTTTTTTTCCACACTAAAAGAGGGCAATTATTCGAGCTAAGGCGATTATTCGAGGGAGACGATTATTTCAAATATTCTTCTCTAGAATTTGTACCCTACATATTTTGTTTTATTATTAAACTGATCCATTAAATCAGAAAATAACAGCATCAAATAAACTGAAACTAGGCTTTTGAAGTGTTTTAAATTGGGTTCCTTGATTAATTTCCAATGTTAACATCCTTGCCGTCAGAGCTTTAATCGTCACTGATCGGTTTTGCTGGATAAAAAAAGGAGATGCCGAGACGGGTGGGGTGCGGGCGATTATTCGAGAGAAGCGATTATTTGAAATATTTCAGTCAAAAGGGAGCAATTATTGGAAGGAGGCGATTAATCGAAGGACGGGTACTCTTTTAAAACACTGTCTTTGAAAAAACTCCGGCCTTCAAGTTCTTTCCTCAGGGAGTCATACATCTAAATGGCATTCATTACACAATTTTAAATGCTAAATAACAAGTACTGTTTCCATTACGAGCACTTGCTGGCTTGACAGCTGCAGCCCTGCACCAGGTTTGAAAGCACGTCCAGGAATGGAATTTTTCCGTTTGACTGTAATTTCTGAAGTGTCAGGTCCGAAGGCTTCACAGATTTTCCGTAACATTGACACTGAAAGGGAGCTAAGCTTGGAAATAAAAGACTAGCTCACAAATGTTGTAGGAGTCATAGATTATCGGATGTGAAATCTGGATGCTCACTTCAGACAAAACCTTGTCCCTCAGCATATTTTGAAGGCAGTTTAATCCTCGCTATCAGGCTGGTCTACCTCAACACGTCACTTAGCAGCAAGGCGAGAGAAGTAACTACTAATTTGCTGGTTCGTGAGAAAATAGCCATAACCGAATAGCCTTTCCCCCTTACTATCTTTCGCAGTTCTCCTGGCTTTAGAGACGCTACTCGGCTCGGCCTTTTTCCCGGTTCTCCCTCCAATTTGAAACCTGACATTTAGGTACTGCTTTTGCTTGTCAGTAAATTTCGTGCGACGTGAAGGTGGCGATTTCAGTGCCCATTCCATCCTGAGAGAAACTGGGGTTGGTAGTGAAGATCTACTTCCCTCTACCACCGCATGGAATTTTGCTCGCGCCAGAGTCCAGTTTAGTCGCGTATTCTATTATGGCCTTGTCATAGAGTGTTTCGTGCTCTAGTTTACGCTTATGTTTTTCACAGTCTAAACAGCAGTGTTTAACAAGCGATGAATGCCGCATAAAAGACTTGATGCATTCCTCTTCCCGGCACGTAAATAATCGAGAATTGATTGCAGAAGACAGGGTATCGATTGACTCATCTTCACTTTCGGAAATGTCTTCTTTCTCTGTCACAGGAGAATGGCCACCTGTTCGTCTCGGTCTTAATGGAACAAAGCTCGCACTGGCCTCGCTCATCAAAGGACTAGCCTCTATTGCCGGACGTTCGCATTCTTCAGGAACACTGAACTTTGTCCATGGAACACTTTTCCCAGGCCCAATGTCGTAGGCTCTCCAAGGTCTTATCCCGTCATGGCTGAAGTGGAGGTTACTGACGTAGCTCCACTTTTGCCATTTCGTGCTCTTGTTGGATGGAGCGTCAGGAGGACTGTAAACCTTCACGCTCACGCCGCGAACACCACCACAAGACTCAATGGCTTCCTTCGTCTGTGCAGCCATGTCAATGTCGTGTCCGGAATTCAGATGCACTGCCATGTGCGACTTTATCGTAGCTGCCTTGCGATCGCATGCACCTTTTCTTGCCTGTGACTCAGAAAAATCAATCCGGGAGATCTGAAGGCCACGACGTTTGGTAATCTGAGGGGCTGTAATCAGTACTTAGTAGAGCTACGCCGCCAAACACTCCCGAGTTCACGCCTTTGATATGGGCAAATGGTGTCCGATTTCTGTGCCGAGGTCTCTTTCTCGCTGAAAACACCCACTGTAGCAAGTATCAGTTCCCTCTCTGTGTTTACTCCAGAAAATAACCAGTAAGAGCAATGATCCGTAACATTCTTTGAGCAATTGCATTAACTAATTATTTCCAGACTGCTACTTTTATCTAACCTATCATACGAGCAGACTGTTTCGGTTTTACTTTGAAAAGAGCACGAAAACTGCGAATTGCCATTGCAGTGCTGCACAAAACAAGAACACTACCTTTTTTTAAAAATACCTTTTTTATTGCCGCAACAAGTATTGAAGTACATATAGTAGTCTAGACATATAGTAAAATAAAATCACACAAAAAAGTCATACAAGATATTTGATTTCAACTCAAGGGATTCTACATTTTACGTTTCTTATATATTGTTAATGCAATAGATTTTGTGAGAGGTTATTTTTAAAGCGAGACCATTTCCGTACAAAGACGTTTGAGTCGTTATTATTAATAATAATACACTTTATTTACAGAGGGTAGCACGGAATAGTTACAGAAACTAGTAGACTTGTGGCCCTCTATCTAAATTAAAATTACACAAAGCACAAGATTATGAATACACAAAGTCTAAGTTCAAAATAAATAAAACTAAGAAATATAAAAGTTCTACATCAATATGAATGAGTATAAGAGCTAATGATACGGCTAGTGAAATACATACAAAAATATGATTAAACTATGAAATGGTGTAATTCCAGCTGCTCTTTAAATAAGATATTTCGATAATTATTCTTAAAGGATTCTAATGATACTGCATTTCTAAGTTCTAGACTTAAACTGTTCCAGAGTTGGCAAGTAGAAACTGCGAACGACCTACCGCCTTCGGTGACCCGATTGAATTTTGGGCAAATAAAATTTATATTACTATATTTAGTTACACGACTATGTTGCTGACTGTTGAGTCTTAAGGAGTCTTCAATATATAAGGGAACTTCACCCTTGATGCGTTTATATGCCACACAACATTTAGCTATTTTCACTTCTTCATAAAAAGGAAGCAACTGTAGGACTTTAACACTAGACGCCTGGTTATTAGCCTTGCTGATCTCTTTTGTAGCTTAAAAACACGGCTTAAATTCTCCTTATCGCAACTAGTCCAGACTGAACTGACATAATGCAATACAGATCTTATCATAGTATTATAAAACAATAGCCTTTGTTTCGTGGGCAGGCAAGATCTTATCACGCGAATTCGCTGAGACAGCTTTTTACAAAGTTTCTCTACATGGGAAGTAAATGACAGTTCAGAGTCAATTTCGAGACCTAGAAGCTTAGCACTGGGAACGAGTTCGAGTTCAGTTCCTTTAATAGTTAAAGTCATTTCTTCCCCATGGATCTTGGAGGGGAGACGCTTGCCAGTGATTAGCATAGCCTTGGCTTTACCTTCATTAATTGGCAGTTTGTTCGAAGCTGCCCAATCGACGATTTCGGCAATTGACGAGTTTAGGGTACCCTCTACCTTCCGATAGAGCTATAGTTCGTACTGGAAGTCAGCGTTGTATCGTCGGCATACAAATCAATTCTTGATGAAGTGACGTAAAGCGGTGGGTCATTGATAAAGACGATAAATAACAAGGGGCCAAGTATGGACCCCTGGGGAATACCATGACGAACAATAGCGACACTTCACTGTTTATCTCCCAGCTTAACAAGTTGGCGTCTGTCCTTCAAATAAGAGGTAAACCATTGAAGGGAATTGCAATCTGCTTTTCAATTTCTATCGAGTTCATAAGTACCTGTATATACACCTGCAGCTTAGGAAGCTTGTTCCCACGTCTGCAGGTGTATATGTAATGTTTAGCTATAAGGAGTAGGTGATGAAAGAAAAGGTCTTTTACGTCGTTGATGAGACCGAAACAGAGAGACAAAGAGGGAGAGACGTTTTCTAAATCTTCGAAGTTTTGAGAGATCCACTCGAACACGTTCTTCCAGAAGTTCTGATTGTATTTGCAGGTCCAGAATAGGTGAACGAGGGTTTCGTTTTGTTCCTCGCAAAAGGAGCAGGAATCTGTTTGTTTGATACCTATTTTGTACAGAAAGACATTTGTGGCGATTTTTCTGTGAAGGAATTTAAATTGGAACGCTCTAAACTTAGACTCTCTTGTACACAGAGGTGATAGGCAGTACGTATTTTCCCAGTTTACTATTATACTAAGATTACAATGTATGTCTCTCTCTTCCAACCACTTTCCCTGACTTCTTGATGGTATAGAAGCTTTTTCGTTTTTTAGACATTCATAAATTTTCTTGGAAACTTTGATGTGAGACAGAAGGGTATCAACTGGATCCTTTGGAGCTGGGTCATGATAGGCTGTAGAGTGTATCTTCTTGTAATGTGCTACAGCAGATATCACTTTGTGATATTCGAGATAGTTGGTTTTGATGCTATATTTATCTGTGAAGGCGTTATAGCTTAGAAAATTCTGGTCGTTATCTAACAGATCTCTAATCTCCTTTATCCCCGCGCTCAACCACGATCTGTAGAAGAATGGACGATTTTCAATTCTAATGTGAGAGTTGTACCATATACATGTGGAGGCAAAATCGACGTTATCGTCTTTGTAATGAAATTTTGTCCAGTACTGTATGATTTCTTTCAAGAAAGGGTCCTTGAGGTTGAGTAGTGTAGAATCTTGCTGTTTCAAATTGCTTCGGAACAATAGTTTTCCTCCGTACTTCCCTAAGTAATGGTCAAAAAAAAGTTTCCACTTCCCTCTATTTTCTTCATTTAGATACCCTTTGATCCATTTCATTTTAAAGGATTCATTAAAGCTTTGAATATCTAACATCTTAAGTCCTCTTTTCGCGTAATTATTTATCATTGTCGTCCTTTTGATTTTATCGCCCTTACCGTCCCAAAGGAAATCGTACAATATAGAGTTGATTGTCTTGAGTATGTCAGAGATGACAATATGTAGACGATTTATGATACGGCTAGACTTTTTGTGATTGTAATTTTACCCAAGAGGGTCAGTCTTCTAGCCGACCAATTGTCTAAGATACTCCTTATTTTCTCAATTTTCTCAATAAAGTTAGAATTAAGAGACCTATCTTCCAAAGTCGAAAACAACACTCCCAAGGCGAAGACCTTCTCGTTTGCCCAAGTTATTGGTTTACTTGAAGGGAAAGTGAGATTAGAACTTTTAGAGGCGCCAATCCAGAGGGCTTCAGTGTTTTCATAGTTGACCGTCAAACCCGATATGGAAGCAAAAGCATCAAGTAAGTACAGAGACCTCAAAAAGGAGGACTTGGAGCCATCTAAAATCATAGTCGTGTCATCTGCAAATTGGGATAACTTACACTCAGTCTGAAAAATCCACGGCCCTCATTATCTTTCCTTACTGTATTACCTAGTATTTCAGCGCATAAAATAAATAAATTTGGGGACAGCGGGCATCCCTGTCTCACACCGCGACTTCAGTTGAAAAAGTCCGAAGGCCATCCGTTGTTCAGAACACAGCCGCTGATATCGGTATAAAATACTTTTACCCAAGTAACCAGAAAGGTTCCAAAATTATAGCACTTCAGAGTTTTTTCTATAAAGGGCCATTCAATACTATCGAAGGCTTTTTCGAAGTCGACAAACAGTAGTAGACCGGGTATTTTTTATGTACTATTTGTGTAATTAATAACACTGTCAATTAGTCTGATGTTTTCTCCGATGAATTGGCCTTTTAGAAAAACAGTTTGATCGTTGTTAATTATCTTTGGTAGGACCTTTCGTATTCCACTTGCAATGGATTTGGTGATATTTTGTAATCGCAATTAAGCAGGGTGATAGGCCTCCAGTTTTTTAACAGGTTGGTTGGTTTGTTCTTTTTTGGCATGAGTAATCAATCCTCTTCTTTGAGTAATCGATAAGAGACCTTTTGTATATGAATAATTTAAGGCATTGAACAGATGCTGATTAATGTCATTCCAAAAGACTTTATAAAATCCGGCTGGGAGGAAAATACTAAATGCGGTATGTATCATAGCGTATGTACCGGTATTTTTAGTAATACTGGACACCGTTATCATTACCCAGCTCAATCGGCAATTTTCACGTGTGCCTAATTTAATTCGAGAGGTAACTGCCTTGAGATGGGACGTCCGAATCAACTAAATTCAACAGTTTCAAATTAAATACGACTTTTTCGAATCTGCGACTAAAACAGTCGAAAATTCGACTTAGGTTCAACATTTGTTTTAGAAGTCGCATTTCACATGTGCCGAATATAATGCATTAATTATAAAAACCCTTATCTGTATTGGATTAAAAAAAAATCTAGAGACTGGGAATATTTACAACAAACGGAGTTGAATTCGGCACTATCATATCTAACGTCTAAATAAACTAACGTATTTGATTACTTTCATCGACTTAACTAGGTGTTCGGTACTCATAAGAAATTCCACGTTTGAAGGGGGACTAACATGACATAAGTTTCAGCTTAGTGGCTCGCAGGCTGTTATTAAGTTGTTGTTTTCTTTTCAGTAAGAGCAATTCGTATCTCTCTTTGTAAATCCATTTTATTAATCGGCTTGTGTCGCGACTTAAGAATCAGCTGTAATAGTTGATTGTACTTTCTCTTTCACATGATTTGTATGTCACTGGACATGATTTGTATATCAAAAAGAGCGATCAATTTCCATTCATCCATATCAATAAAAGCAATTAGTATATGCTAAAACAGTGGATAGTGTTTTTCGCGCGCTCTGATTGGCTGCTCAATCTCGGAATATCCTGCACTATTCACTGATTCGCCTCCAGCCGAGCGGCGCCAAACTCTTGCAAGTTACATGTACGACAAAAATGGCTCAGTCTCGGTTTGCCACGGTAACTAGCGACGAAATTTCGAAAATAAATGAAGAGGCCATACCAGACAACACTAAAAAAGCGACTAAATTCGGTCTAGCAGTTTTCACAGGTAAAGCTTTGTCTGTTTAACCTGAATTTTATCGATGAAACCGGTGAAAAAGTTTTTTGTTTACAAATGCAAATTATGTCTTTCGTTACTTAATGTTAGCTGACATGTTTATAAATAAGCTTACTTTTTTTACAGAATGGTTTCAGATGCAAGAAGAGTTCAAAACTCCCTTTGAGGAGATGTCACCAATTCAGCTTAACAAATGCCTCCAAAAATTTTACTTGTCCGCACGAAAACGTGAAGGCAGTTACTACAACAAAAAGTCGCTTATCGCAATCCGAGCCGCGTTAGATCGTCACTTAAAAAGTCCTCCGTTTTCAAAGCCATTTTCCATTGTTGGCGACAGTCATTTTAATGAAGCCAATAAATCCCTCAGCAATTTTCTGAAAACTCTGAGCAAAAGTGGCCAAATAGCTCCGACAGTGCACAAACAAGCCCTAACATAGGAAATTGTTGAGAAACTTTACGAAGAAGGCGAGCTTGTTGACATCGATTCTCTCCAACCACACAAAGTACAGCAGACAGCCTGGTTCTTCATCAGTTTATTCCTCGGAAAGAGAGGTCGAGAAAACCAGCACCTGCTTAAGAAACACATGCTTATCTCAAGGGAAGCGCCAACTGGTGTAAAATATCTGGAAATAAACAAAGAGCGCGGAGCAGTGTTGGCGACTAAAAACCATCAATGTGGCCTAGATGATAAAGAAGATGAGTCAAACGGAAAAATATTTGAAAGACCAGGCTCAAAACGCTGCCCAGTGAAACTCATCGAGAAATACCTGTCACATCTGAGTCCCAAATGCAGCAGTTTATTCCAGAAACCAAGAAGCTCGTGAAAAGCGTTTAACCCAGCAACGGATCTTGTGTGGTACTGCTCGAGTCCACTTGGCCACAACACGCTTGAAAATATGCTACGAAGAATGACATCAAGAGCTGGAATAAAGCCACATCTAACAAACCACTCGATCAGAGCGACCACCGTGACGGTTTTGTCAGCTGCAAACATCGAGAGTCGGTACATCAGGGCAATAACCGGCCACCAAAGTGAAGAAAGCATCAAGAGCTATTGTGATACGCCGACATTCGAGCAGTTTAAAAGAATGTCAAACGAGCTAAGTGAATTCTTCGATCCAGCTGGTGGCAATGACAAGGCTGTTACAGTCCCTCAGAAAACCGTTGCGTCGTCATCGAGCCAGCCGCAATCAGTAGCTACGAGCACTGCAAATTATTCCTTCCAGTCCATTCAAGATGGATCACAGAATCTTGTCCATGGCTTCATTCCCGGAGCCACGTTCAATAACTGTAATCTCAACTTTAAGGTGAGCTTTGGAGGAAGCAGCAGCAAATAAAACTTGTAACAGACAACGAAAAGAACAATCTACAAAGATGGCGTAAAGCCAGGACTTTTCCTTTCGCATAGCTTGATCTTTTATTTACGGTTGTAAAGTCTTAAACACAAAATTATGAACATTTCATCATCAGATGTGTCATGTGACTATTTTGAGCTGCGCGCATGTTTGTTTAATTTGCGCGCCAAAATTGTAAATAAACGAATTAAAAATCGTCATTTCAGATCATTTTAGGCTTATTATCTCACTGTTTTAGCATATACTAAAACAATTATTCACCGAAGTGGAGGTGGCTAGTATTGGATATTTACCTCGCCGCTTTCGCGGCATCGGTAAATATCCAATACTAGCCACCTCCACTTCGGTGAATAATTGTTATATGGAATCACTTCTCACTATAGCGGACAACCTCGAACCGTAATTCGTCGTATAAATATGCGGCATCGAAGAAAGACGAAAAAGCTAAACCTTTTTGATCAAATTATTTTGAGGTTTAATCTCAAAGCTTTAAATAGTGTAAAATAATTATAACTTACTTTCATGAACTTTTTTACCGATATCACTAATAATAATAATAATAATACGTTAATTTAGGGCACTGGGGTAGGACAGGTTGGTGCCTTATTCTACCACGGGAAATTGAACGCTCCCGCCCACCAGAGTCTGGGGTGGCACCTTTGACAAGTGCCCGCAAACCCTTGCCACCCTCGTTGGGGTAACACAGGGTAGAGGGACCCATCAGTCTTGGTCGACAACCCTTCTAGAGAAAGTGTCTCCATAAAAACACTGGTCCTGGTTGCACCTTAAAAGCACCACCCTCATAATGAGTGAAGATGACAGATGATGATTCATCCATGAACAGCGTGAATAGGAAGGGAACCAGGGAAACTGGTGAAGCTGCCTCGCCTGGCAGGTATCCCACTGTAGGGCAGGGTGGGCCCGGTCGTCAACCAGCTGCTGCCAGAATGAAATGGAGCAGAGATATGAACATTGCTGTAATGGAGTGCTACTATCTGTGTAAACCAGTTGATTAAAGTGGCAGACCAGTCAGAGGATATGGACAGAGAATGCATGCTGTCTGGAAGGAAAGAGGTTTACCAAAGATAACAGAGCAGAGACTATGTGATCAGGCTAGGGCGATCAGAAAAAGTGAGTGGTTTACTTCCTTCGAGTTGGATGAAATCAGGAGAAGAATGACTAAAGTAGATGAAGAATTAGAGGAACAGGATGCCGGGTGTATAGACACAGAACCAGAACAGGTCGATAAACTAAATGGAGCTGTCAATGTGCAGATTACAGACAATGATACGAGGAATGATGAGGAGAGGCAAATGTTAAAGGACATAGTGGAAATTATGAGAAGCGGACAGGTGTGGAATGGTGCTGGTTTTAAGAAGGTTGAAAGGAAAGTGGTGTCAGAATGGACGAAGAAGGTGAATAGAGTAGTGTCAGAGATACAAACTACCAATATCACTGACACAAATAAATTGATTAATGCTACTGCGATCTACATAGCAAGACAAGTTGGGCTCAAAATGGGTGGTTGCGAGGGAAAAGGAAGCAAAGAACCTGGATGGAATAGGAGAATCAGACTCTATTGCAGAGTTACTGAGGCACGTCAACATCCTGGAAAGATCTAAACAAGGAAAACTTATATTATGCATGAGTTCTTTGCAGAAAACGATGCTTTGCCTGCAGAACAAAAGGGGTGTAGGAGAAAGAGTAGAGGCACAAAAGATCAGTTGTTGATTGATAACATGGTCCTTGCTGATTGCAAAAGAAAGCACAAGAACTTGGCTATGGAGTGGGTGGATTATAAGAAACCATACGATATGGTGCCTCACTCTTGGATTATTGAAACCTTAAAAATGGCACAGGTAGCGAAAATATAATTATAACTTTTCCGCAGAAATCCATGGTAAACTGGAAGACAGAACTGACGTCTTATAGAGAGACACTGTTTAATTGATATTAGACGGGGTATCTTTCAAGGAGACAGCCTGCTCCCCATTATTTTCACTGTTTGCAAGGAACCTTTGACCAACATCCTACAATATACCACAGCTGGTTATACCTTGGGAGATGTCAAAATAAATCATTTGTTCTTTATGGGTGATTTGAAGGTCCATGGCAAGGATAAAGCAGAGATTGAAAGCCTTGTATCGACAGTACAGTTGATTCTAGAGTTGGACAAGTCTAAGGAAAGGGAAATGAAAGTCATATTTCGAACAGAGTGCTTAAGGCGGTTCAAACTTGTCATGAAACCTCAGCTCAATGGTAAGACAAGATCAAAGTAGCAAACACTTGGGCTGTGTCGCTCATGAGGTATGAAGCAGGAACAATGAAATGGAATAAGGAGGAACTTCAGGAAATAGATAAGAAGCCTAGAAAAATCATTTACAATGAATAAGGAGCTACACTCTAGAAGTGATGTTACCAGAATAAACGTACCCAGAAAGAAGAGAGGAAGAGGCCTGATAAGTCGTGAGAGCTACGTCAGGAGAGAAGAGAACAACTTGAGTTGGTATGTGAGAAACAGTGAAGAGGTATTACTCAGGAAAGCTGGAGATAGCAATGTAGTCAACATCTCAGAGGCTGTGGACCCAAAGGAGTACAAAGTGAATGAAGTAAACGAGACGGAGAATGAATGGAAGCAGGAAACAATGCATGGGTAGTATGTGAGAGAAAAGGAAGGTATTGGCTGGGATAGAACTTGGCAGTGGATTGCAAAAGGAGATCTGAAAGGATGTACTGAGGCCCTGATATGTAGCACCCAAGAACAAGCTTTGAGAACAAATTATACGAGATTTCATATTGATCACACAGCAGAATCCCCTTTGTGCAGAATGTGAAGTAAGGGAGAAACGGTGGCCCATTTGGTGTGTGAGTGCGGTAAGCTGGGGGCAGATTTGTGGTAAATGTGGATTGGAAAGAGACAATAGCTGATATGAACAGAAGCCGAAGAGAGTAGTGGAAAGTGAAAATTTCAAGATACTGTGGGATTTCACAGTCCAGTGTGATCAGAAAATTGAGGAAGCGGATTTTGAGCTCCGAACGGGCAAAATGAGTTTTCTCGAATTTTAACAAAAGAATACGTTATTTGGGAAAACTACCTACAGCACGTTTCATCACTCATTAAGAGTTATCGATGAGCCAAAAATGAGCGAAATTCGAATTTGAACTTGTGCCACAAAAAGTCGATTTTGGTCGATATTTACAAACAGTCGCTCGTAATATGTTGCTCTAATTGCTATATTTATCATTTTCTTGATTATATAAAGTTGCTGCTTTTTATCTATGCCGATGTCATTCATCATGTCTAAGAACGTGGAGCATTCATCGCAGAAAACGCCAAGGGAGCTCATGGAGAGATTTACAAATTTCACACATCTGTAATTTCTACCCATTTTTTTTTTATCAAGTTCAGATATTCTTTTTTTACGCACTGCATTGTTATTAAGGTTAGACTCGAAACCAGCTGTTAATTCTAGAACATGTAGGCACTTGGACTGGATTAGGAAAAGAATACTACTACTACTACTACTACTACTACTACTACTACTACTACTACTACTACTACTAATAATAATAATAATAATAATAATAATAGTAAACTCCCTTTTTCGTTTTTCTTTTCCTTCGTATGAGCAAAAAGGAACTCGGGCTTTAAACAATACAGTGATCTATTTCTAGTGCATGATAGGCTTGTGTATCATGATCTAAAATACCATGTCAATCAAGTCAGTCATGTGGTTATATACGGCGTTACCAGCTAGTATCGTCATTCAAAGTGATTATCGCGACTCAACAAGTAGCGAGCTCTTGCAGTGCCTGTAATCCATTTCATTCAATTTTTGAGTTCGCTGATGGTCTTAGCAATAAAGATCGTGAAACCCCCAATGAATTTTTGGGTATTTAATGAATAGTTATAGGAGTGAAATGTGAGAAAGGTAGATTATAGTAGAAGAACTATCATACAAATGACAAAAAATTACCTGATGGCTTGTCGGTTGGCCACTCTACCCAAGCTTCTATTAGAAAGACAACAATAATCATTATTATTAATCATCATAATCATAATAAAATAAAGTTCGCAGATTCCACAATAGTAGTTTCATTTGACAATACCTTACAAATCGACACTTGTGTATCCATACAGTTGTAAATAAATATCAAAACAATTCAATAATAATAGACCACTTCAGGAGCGCATCAAATCGAGCCTCCATCTCCATTAATTTCTTGAGTCAACCCTTTCCCGAGTAGATTTATAAATAGAACGGCTTGTTTCCCGCGAAAAGTGTCATATTTCCGTGAGTCTCGTATGTCACCGTGAAAAAATAAAGTTGATGAGGTCGAACTCAGAAGTCCGTCCTTCGACCGTTTTCCTTTTTCATTACGCATCCATTTTTACGATTTTACAGCCGCTGGGATCTGGGTATCATAAAATAAAAGTTAATGAATTACCCAACTGAGACTGAGCATGAAGCGCTGGGACAAAGGCAGCGAACTGAGGATCACTGAAAGGTTACCTTTGCGAGAGCTTTTTTTTTTGCCGTCATACATCCCACATGTAGGCATGCACTTCGAAAAGAGTCGACGATTAAGCGTTCTGTGGACGATTTAGAACTTTTCGTTTGATCAGCGCCGAAAAAGTGCCAGGATCATTTGATTTCTGTCATCACCGTGGAGTGGATTTCGCCAGTTAAGCACCGCGTACAAAAACTAAGCTAACCTAAGTAACAACTGACGAGGAATGCTTTAGTTCCAAAATTTGAGAAATTGTAACAAAAAGGAAGAAACAACAATTTTAACAAAGAGGCATGTACATGTCTCTTTTTTAAAAGTCGACCTAAGAGTTCTAGAAAGAAAGATACATAAATAAATAAATAAATAAATAAATAAAAAGAGGGGAATGGGATCCCAAGTCGGAGAGCAGATACACAAGTCTTCATCTTTTCGCTTTAATCTCAGTCTCCCTTTCCATTGACTTTACCTGCCATTTCCTCTTCCACTTTTTTATTGGAAACTTCTTGGTTTAGGGGTAATACCTGTTGATGGAATAATAGTGATAATGATAATAAGAATGATAATGTCAATGACGACAGCGTCAACGACTCGGGCAACGACAACGACAGTGGCACTGGTAATGAGAAGGACTGTGACAATGACAATGACAATAATAATTAAGATTTTAAGGACAATTACAATGACGATGATAAGGACAATGGCAATGACAATAACAAAGACAAGGACAAGGACAGCGACAATGACAATGGTTATTATGAAGGGAAAATATGTCGGCAAATGAAAGTACTCTTATCCTACAGCGGATGTTAACAAATATGGAATTTTAATCGGGCACGTGAGTGATTAGCGAAAAAAAGGGCCTAGCGAATTACACTCAGACTGTTATGCGATGGCTTCGACCACTGGTTAAGGATCATAATTAAAGACGAATCGAGCACTGAAAATAACTCCAAAGCCGCTCTTGATGCGGTCACAAGAATGCAACACTCGTCAGAATAATGTACGCATCATTTCTTGTATCTAGGCATAACTTGATGTAATTTGACGCCACAATGACGTCACATTGTTGAATTTATTAGCAGAACCCTCATTTTTCCTCAAAGTAGCCATAAAGCAAAAAATATACCGTATTTATTCGAATAAGCGCCCAACCTCGAATTAGCGCCCACCTCGAATAAGCGCCCATCCTAGAGGCAGAAAAAGTTAATAAGCGCCCAGCCTCGAATAAGCGCCCACCCTCCCCCCTCCTCCCAATCAAACTCAAATAAGCGCTCACCCCCACCCACCCACTTGAGCGAATAACTTCTAATAAGAGACTTCCCCGAGGACGGAGTTTTCTTTAGAGTATTTTACAGAAACCTTGCTTTGTTACTTCTTCGCGTTTAGTTATTAGCATTTATTGTTTTGTTGCAAAATAAACATACTACACTTGCTGAAAATGGTAAAAACTTAATAAGCGCCCAGCCTCGAATAACCGCCCACTCTCAAGGTCCAAAAATTTAATAAGCGCCCGGGGCGGTTAATCGAATAAATACAGTACTTAAACAGTCCAGAATATACGCAAAAAGGTATACTCGTTACGTCACGATTCTATTGTTCACCTCGAAAATACCTCCGTTGGGGGAGAGGGGGGTATGACTTTGTGTGTACGTCCGAGGGTTAATCCTGTGCCTCACAAATGCGCAGAATTTAGCGGAAATTATAATTTATCATTTATGCTTAGTTTTCTACTCATACCGCGGAATAAATAGACCATCTATCACCATAAAGAAGACCATTGGAAGAGTTATGAACAATGGCGAACGTGTTTGTCTGCAATGAACAAAGGTATTAATAAAATAGATTCGTAAAAAAGTACATCACATTTGCTTTAAAGATTCTTAAGAGCGTGTCTCCGTAAGAACCGACCAGTCATTTTGAATCGAAAAATAAATTTCCGTTATATTCTGGGAGATTAAAGCCTCTACCTAAGAAGTTA